CTTCTACTGAGTCTCCTTCTTGGTCAGATCCAATTTGAGCTGAGCTATTTTGCCAACTCTTTCCCCTGGTGGCTGCTTAGTTCCAACAACTGCTTCCTGTTGGGGCCCTAAGGAGCCCAGGCGGGGAGGCGAGGAGTAGCAGGGAGGGGAGGGGCGAGTAGAGGCTGGCAAGGCGCCCCTTGAAATGAGTGACATCGAGTTGACCACGCCCACCCAGTCACATGACCACATACCCATTCCCACCCCACTCCAGGGGAAGGATACTGTAAAATCCCCATTCCCACCCCACTCTGGGGTCAGCCGAAGGTGGCCTTTGCCAGTTCTCCAAAACTACTCAAAATTTCCGCTACCCGTTCTCCAGAACCTGTCAGAACTTGCTGGATTTCACCCCTGGTTCAAACCTTCTTTAGATGTTTTATTTGATCATCTGGTTTCAGTCTTTTTCCCTGACCTGGGGCAGCAATGATACAAGTCTAAGCATATTTCCCAAATTAGCCACAATTGCCTGAGTTTGCATAACTATGAGGCATATTTTACGAACCACAATTGCTGGGTTCAAATAATCTCTGAAAACAAAGCCAAACCGGCCCAATGGTGCATGACTGGAATGTCTCCTACCAATTTGGCCCTTGTCTGGGATGAGGCAGAGGGTACAAGGAGGGGGTGAACAGATGCTGCTTTGAAGACCCTTAGAACAGAGAGGCAAAACATTTCTGCTGTGTTTTCCTTGCCCTTCTGTGTCTCCAATTTCTTGGAATTTGTTTTTTTTTAATGTATAAGCAGCTCATTTGGGTCAGAGAAGGAGAAACATTCAGCCTTCCAAGAATCACCATCTTGGAAATGATTGCAACAGAGGTTTGTTTAACAGCTTGTAAACCAAGAATTCTTTTCCATTCCTGGAAGATCTTTCTCTTTCACTTCAGGTCTCTTTGACTTCTTCAGTGACCAACTAGGAAACAAATAAGCACAACTTGAATTTTCCAAAATCCAGAGAGCTAATTTTCAGAGTGTCTTCTTTTAATTTGTGACTGCATATAGAATTTGGGGGACGCAGTGGCTCAGTGGCTAAGACGCTGAGCTTGTCAATCAGAAAGGGGTTTGTGCGCCGCCCTGAGTCCCGCTGGGAATAGGGCGGCATATAAATAAAATGAACCTTGATGCTTGAAAGGTCGGCCGTTCGGCGGTTCGAATCCCTAGCGCCGCGTAACAGAGTGAGCTCCTGTTACATGTCCCAGCTTCTGCCAACCTAGCAGTTCAAAAGCACGTAAAAAATGCAAGTAGAAACATAGGGACCACCTTTGGTGGGAAGGTAACCACGTCCCGTGCGCTTTCAGAGTTGAGTCATGCCGGCCGTATGACCACAGAGACGTCTTCGGACAGCGCTGGCTCTTCGACTTTGAAACAGAGATGAACACCGCCCCCTAGAGTCAGGAACGACTAGCACATAGGTGCGAGGGGAACCTTTACCTTTACCTTATAGAATTTTATAATCAAAGAACCAGGATTTTGTTTTTTTAAAAATGCTGCAGATTAATACTACTTTTTAAAACAGTGGGGTTATTTCCCCTCTCTCTTCCACACAGCACTCCCATGGGGTGGGAAACCATTGGCCCTGAATGATGGTTAACCAGCAAATCTCAGGAAGTATGGTTAGGGTTAACAAGTGCGAAGAATCAGGTCCTTATCCAAAAAGCCCTGTTGGATAAAACCAAATCTTGTTTCTTCTATCTAGGAAGTTCTTCAATTGTAAAGGATGTTTTCCCCTTATTCACATCCTGACAAACCGTGGCA